CATCCATCCATCCATCCATCCATCCATCCATCCATCCATCCATCCATTATCTTTATTCGCTTCTTCTTTTTCGAGTCACGGGGGTAACTGGTACCAATATCCAGCTATCGCTGTGTGAGAGGAGGTGGACACCCTGGACAGATCTCCAGTCCATCACTGGGACACAGAGACAAATGAGACAAACAACCAATCACTCTCTGTCTCGCACCTAGAGACAATTTAGAGTTACCAATCATCCTGTTTGGTGCATGTTTTTAACATGCATGTTTTTGGTCTGTGGGAGGAAACGAACCCACACATGCACAGAGAGAACATGCAAACTCAACCCAAAAAGTTCCCCAGCTGGGATTTATACTGGCAACCGTCTTGCTGAGAAGCAACAGCTCTACCAACTGAGCCACCGTGCCGCCCACACACTCTTATGCCAGTCTTAAAACCTTAAATTTGCTTTTATGCACCAGGTGAGCAGTCCTAAAAATTCACGAGTTTTGTTCCTGAATGAATCAGCAAAGTGGCTCTTAGACATAGCAGCCTGCCCGCAGCTCATTAGCCCTCTGAATAAACAGGGTGGAAGGGCAGCAGCTCAGACAGACTGTAGATGGAAATTTAGCTGGTAATATATTGAAGCAAGCAATGAAAGTATTGGAAGAAAGTGTCTTACCTGCTGTAGACGTGAATGACCTTAGATTGGAGAAACAGTTTAATTCTGACTAGTCCAAGAAGCTAACAGTTAGCCTTAGCAAGGCTAAGACCACAGTGGATCGATGGTCTTGGCCCATTTCAAACTAGTCATTAGCTCAACAATCCACTCACACTTAAAAGTAACATTCCTTAAATAAATGCACAATACCTGTTGCTTTGCCTGACAAAGTTAGAAAGCGCTTGCACCATGAATTAGCCATATTTGTGTTTGCTGTGACAGCCATCTTGTATCAAGTTGACTCCAAAATTAATATGATGTGGAGTCACATTCAATAATAAATGTTTGTGTTTCATTAAAATGCGTCTATGAAGTCCATGATATCTTTTGTTATCAGACAATTAGGGTTGACCTCGGCACTTGATACCAACGTTTTAAACAAAGAGCTCACACCATTTTTTAGCACTCCAAGTACATGATGGGACTCAGCCTCAGCTGTTAGCGCACCAAGGTTGAGCTCAGTATCTGTAAAACTGACAGACATTTTTGAGGTTGACTAGAGGCTGTGGTGGCCATCTTGGATTATGTTGATGCCACTTTCTGATAGTTTTAATAAAATGTGTCCTCTGGTAAATGGGACATTTTGTCAACATGACAGATCGATGAACGAACACACACACTGGCAATTGTGGTTGACAACTGGTGATAAACTTTGTTTCTCCAAAATGAGGCTGTTGGAGAGCTATCTACAACAAATAAGATATTAATTGATCATAACATTTCCACAGAACCTCACATCAAGATATCTGAACCATTCCTTTATTACCTGACAACTTCTCTGCTTAAAACAAATAACCTAATTGATAACTCTGTATTTTTTAATGTCTTTGTGTGTTTTCTCTCAGACGCTGCGAGCTGCAGGGAAGACCTACATGGTTTTCTTTGTGCTGGTCATCTTTGTGGGCTCCTTCTATCTGGTGAATCTGATCTTGGCTGTGGTGGCCATGGCTTATGAGGAGCAGAACCAGGCCACGATGGAGGAGGCCGAGCAAAAAGAGGCTGAATTCAAGGCCATGCTGGAACAGCTCAAGAAACAACAGGAGGAGACGCAGGCCAGTATCTATTTAAACCTCACACATAATCACTTTTACCCATTTTACATGTTCAACCAACGTCCTGTTTTCCCTCTCAGGCTGCTGCAATGGCAACTTCTGCAGGCACCGTGTCGGAGGCTGCGTTGGAGGACGTAGAAGGAGGACACTTGTCCCGCAGCTCCTCTGAAGTCTCCAAGCTGAGCTCAAAGAGTGCCAAAGAGAGGCGCAATCGCAAGAAGAAATGGCGCCAGAAAGAGCAGGAGAAAGAGAAAGGAGACAGCGAGAAGGTCGTTAAGTCCGAGTCGGACGATGGCAGCAAGAAAAGCACCATCCGTTTCCCAGGAAGTCGACTGGGGAGGAAAACATCCATCATGAACCAGGTAGACAAAAAATTACAAATTTGGCTACCCCTGTAAGATGGTGTGTTTGACTGCTTTAGATCAAAGCACTGCCTGTAGTGGCTGAACTTTGCCAAAGGATATGTGAGTATAAATGTGACAGTGAGACTGGAAAGGCTTCTTGCTCCATTCTTGTCCTACATTTTTGGTTTATTGGCAACAAAGACAAGAGTCCAGTGGAAAGTGAACATTTGTTTTGGCTGATGTGCCTTCTGACCAAAATATTGTGCTCATTTACTCTCTGTCAGGTGTTTTATTTATGATTTTTCTATGGTTAAAGATCGTGCACACGTCTTTAGCAAACTTCTAGAGCCAACAAAGTCAATGCTCAATAATCCAGGTATACAATCCAACAATTTTCAGTCAGGTCATCTGGACAGTTTCTTTTTTTGTGCTGAAATGTTTCACCTTCCATCCAGAAGGCTTCATCAGTCAAGGAAACACACAACACAAAACTGATTCTTCCCCCAACAACTTACTCCAAAGTGGAACAAACCAGTTATGTTGGTGCTAAGAGCCATTTCTCATTTTCTTTATATTTTTCTCTTCATGTACCCAAAGTTGTAAACTCGTAAAGAAGCTTTGGTCAGCAGTTCTTCAGGCTTGCTGAATGTCTTTCAAAGGTTTTCTTTCAGTCTAGTTTAATCATTTATTTTGGTGTTTGTTTGTTGCTTGTTTATTAAGACACTTAACTTTGATGAATCCTGTAGGAAAAAAGCTCCCAAACTCAATGAACAAACTGGAGTGTTGACTAAAGGCTTAGAAAAGAACCAGTTTAAAGTGGGATCATCGGGGATTTTGTTCAGTTGAATCAATGAAAGTTGCTACTTATTGGACAGATCTGGTTGGCAGGCCACAGACTGATGAAGTCTTCTGGATGGAAGACAAAAGGTTTCTCCCTTAAAGAAACTGGTCCAGATGAAATGATTTAACCTTTTTTGTTTTATCTACTTGGATGATTGAGCCTACAAATCTTTTTTTAAATTTTTATTACCACAGATATAGCTTTACTAATAAAATATGTTTAACTTCAAACAAGATGAGTCCCAAAGAGTTGTCAGCTGAAAACTGGAGTTGATAAACAGCTAAAGGATGATGGTCTCAGGCCCAGTTTCGAGTCGTTACCATTTTTTTTTTTCACTTATAGACATGATTTTCAAATTTTGTTTATAAGGTTTAGTCCTGACACATCTTGTATTGTCTTGCACTTTTAACTTTCCCCAGTTTTTTAAATGCTATGTTAATTGGAATGCTGTTGTGGTCAGGTACAAGAACTGGACAGAAAATGAGGGAAAACTGTCAAAGTCCAAAGAAAAACTTTGACAGACCATCAGAAAGTCCGGAGAACTATTAATCAAGATCACTTCAACAAAAAAAAAATTAGGGATGACTGAGACGTTGAGACAGTGGTCTACATTGATTATGCGTTAAATGGATTTTATTAACTTTTCAGCCCAAAATAAAGGATGTGTTGAAATTAATCTGAAAATGCAGCTTTAGTAGGTTTTCTGTCACTCACATAAATACAAAGGATACCAAAAAAAAAGTTGAATTTTTTTGTTTCACAAGAAGCTGCAACTCTTCATGGCAGCCAGTCTCAATGGCCAGCATGCGTTGAGTGTTTAGTTAATGGTCTGCATATGTGTTGATTAAAAGTTATCTTAAGGTTGTGTTGTACTTTACTTTGTTCTTGTGTTTGCATGTTTGCTTGGACGATGTAAGGACTGATAGTTGTTGGTGTTTAACTGCGTTGACTGTTCTGCTGTGTTGGTGTGTTTGTCTCTGAAGTTCGACTCGATGAGTTGACTCGATGAAAGTGTGTCCTTGTAGTGAGACGTGTAGAGGTCAATGTTTCCCACCTAGTATTTAATAAATGTTTTCTAAATTTGGAGCTTTTATGTGTACTTTTATGATGGATTTCTACATTGTTGTTGTTTAAAAAAAAAAAGAGGCGGATGTGTACAATTTCAGCTTTTTGCTAATTTCAGGATCTGCACCCAGTGAAAGTTTGTTTTCAATTTGTAAATGCTATAACAGACTAGACTTACTGGGTCAAGTTCAAATTCTCCAGTTCTTGGTTTAAAAAAGATCAAAACAAATTAAAAGTTTCAAATAACACATCATTCCATGGAGACTTTATTTCTATAAAAGCAATATTTTATGAAGTTATTTATTATTTCAACAATGGGGACAAACAACCTCAAAATGTGGGTGGGAAAGGTGCACAGCTGCCTCCACCCTTGTTTGCTGCCCCCCTCTGGGCTCTTGAGCAAGTCCTTAGGGTCATTAACATAGTGAGCTATCCAGTGTAGACAAAGAACTCAAAATGTTACTTTAAAAAAATAAAAACTACTTGTATTGGTTATTGTGTTGTATTTGTACCTTTACCCAAATGGCCCAGTTATCTAGTTTATCCCAGTTTTTCCCCTCCATTTAATTTATTGCTCTGTTTTGAAATGCATAAACAATTCTCCCACTCGTTGTTCTTTTTTTTTTTTTTGTAGTCACTTCTCAGCATCCCCGGCTCACCCTTCATGTCACGCCACAACAGCCGCAGCAGCATCTTCAGCTTCAAAGGCCGCCCCAAGGACATGGGCTCGGAGAACGAGTTTGCGGACGACGAGCACAGCACGGTGGAGGAGAGCGAAGACCGTCGAGGCTCTCTGTTCATACCTTACCGTCGCAACAGCTACAGCGGCTACAGCCAAGGCTCGTCACGCATCCACCCACTGGCCCCCCACTCAGGAGGGAAGAGAAACAGCACGGTGGACTGCAACGGCGTGGTGTCTCTCATCGGCCCAGGGCCCGGCAGACGACTTCTGCCTGAGGTGAAAATAGATAAGGCAGCCACTGATGACAGTGTAAGGACGTCCATGGGACACCAATACAGTTTAGGCATGATGATGATGATGTTGGTGATGGTGGTGACCCTGATCTCTGCAGTTCCTCCTTCATTACCCCTCCCCTATCTTGGCTCTTGTTTCTCTTTTCCCTAAACTCAGTACCCCCCCCCCCCCCCCACAATAACTGGATCCTGTTTGAACATTTCACCTTACAGTTCCACTTACCCCTCAGCTGATCAAATTATCCATTGCTTCTTTTTTAACAACCCTAAAAAGGCACTAATTAGCTAAAACGTATCCACAGACCTATGATCTTACCCACATTATGGCAAATTTTATAGACAAAATGTTAAAAACTTTACACTTTATTATAAAATAAAATTCTCTCCCACCTCTCTTTGAGATTTATAATGTTTTCTTTACACATTCTTATCTACCATTTCTGTCAGCATCCATCTTTCATTTTCACTTTCCTCTTGCTGCTGTAACTCTCCTACCTGTCGTCATTCGTCTTCTGCTCTAAGCCCTGGATAATGCAGCAACAAACCTGACACTTTCTGTGTAACAATAATTCTCCGAGCTAGCATGATAGATCTCTTTTTCTCTCAGTTGACCAGCTGACCTTTTTTTAACCTCTTCCAGATTTAGCATGGACGTCTTGAATTCCCTTTTGTTGACATGACATGCATGCCACTGCATGCACTTTTAACATTGCTGAGGTATTATTATTATTATTATTGTTGTTGTTGTTAAAGGGAATACAAAATGTATAAAAATTTGAATCAAAATTTTATATAAGTTGACTTAAATTGAAGCTCCAACTTTTTCTTACTGTTTAGTTGTGCTAAATTGACACAACTGAGAGTTTACTGTAAAATTTATTGCATTTTAAGAATTACAAAAAAATTCAAGTTCACAAATTAGGTAATCTAGTATAAGGCTCTATTGTTATTTATTGTTCTGATGGCTTGAACTGTGTCTGTTTCTTTTTTTTTTTTGTCCTGCAAGCAGATCTGGAGCATCGTCTATGTTTTTATTCAGCTGCAGGGCGTCAGTTTTTTTGTGTACGCTCTTAGAACGAGCTCTGAGCGGTAGTGTTTTTGTTTTCTGAAAACAGACTACAGACGTGGAGATTAAGAAGAAACACTCCGACTCGCTCATGGTCTCTGTGGATCAGCTCAACTCGTCCTTCAAAGGAAAGGAAAGAGCCAACAGTCAGATGAGTGTGGTCACCAACACGCTGTTAGAGGGTATGCTTAGTGCATGTGTTTCAGACTACTGTTGAAAAAGTGTCATATCTTTTATTCAGAAAAGATAAAAATACTTCACTTAATGTGTACATTTGATCTGGTCGCATAAAAAAACAACAACAGAAAGCTAGTGAATGGATGCCGTCTCGTGAAATGTATGAGGTTAAATAAATTCTCATCTGACTGAATGATCATGTTCAAAATTAAACTTCAAAGTAGGCAGTACCGTATTTTTCGGACTATAAGGCGCACTTAAAATCCTTTAATTTTCTCAAAAATCAACAGTGAGCTTTATGATCCATGGCACCTTATGTATTAATTCTGGTTGTGCTTACAGACCTCGAACTGATTTTATGTGACACATGCGCTCAAAAATCTGTCAGAATGTTTTAGTTTTGCTTAATGCGCCTTATAACCCGGTTCACCTTGTGTATGAAAACAGACCCGGTCATTGATATTGCGCCTTATAATCTGGTGCACCTTATAGTCCAAAAAATATGGTAATAGTCTCTTTGTGTGCATGTTTGTTTTGTTGTTTATCATTAGATGTATGTCTACAACAAAAAAAACCTTTTATAGGTAACCTAATTCAAGATGGCCTCCACAGCTAATTGACCTTAATAAACATAAAAATGATAATAACTAGGCATGCACGATATTGGATTTTTGGCTGATATCTGATATGCCGATATGTTAAAACTTATTTGGCCGATAACCAATACCGATATTTTATATACTTTCCTTTGTTAGAACATAGCCCTCTTATTTAGGCTTATTTGGTGCAAAAATTGTGCAACAGCTGTAAGAGCTGGTGACATATATTCAGTAACAGCCATATGATATGCATGGCACTTTAACTTATATTAAATGAAAAGTGTTAAATGTTATTTATTAGCATTAGTCACCTGCGATGCTGTTTCACTTGTGGATGTTTGTTCCAGGCTCCTATAGCTGCAGTGTGGGATCCTCTGCACTCTTGTGCACAAAGGACAGCCTTTTTAAGTTCAAAGTTTTTGTCTATCCATTGTGTCGTAAGACTAATCATGCTAACGGGGCTAATACTTTGATATCCAAATGTCTGTGGTAAAACTCACCCAAGTGCTATCAAGTATTAGCTTCTCAATGGCGTTGGAAATGACAGCTTGTAAGTCGGGTAAGGTTACGTCCAACAATCTTTGGAATCCGACATCCTTAACGATAAGAAAAACTTCTACACCGCAGACATTTTGAATTTTCCTCTCTGCCATGAGATCAGGTAGGCGCGCGTGACATCATCATGTTGTGCTGCCGCTGCAGGCATCCTTGTCACTGGGTTGTCATACAAAAACAACGTCTTTTATGTCGATGAGTTATTTTGACGGAATGGCCGATATCTAATATTTAACTTTAACACTAATATCGTCCGATACCGATACCATGCCGATAATATTGTGCAGGCGTAATAATAACGCTGCTTATTTTAACGCTATAGAGTTAAGATTTGGTATAGTTGTAGCTGAGAGTCATCCTCAACACTCTGAGAACTAACAATTTTTTTCTTTAAAACACTGGCATGCAAGAGTGTGTGCAAACTTTGTTTACTTACAAGTTTTATTTTTCATCCCTCTTGATCTTTTTCTGCAGAGTTGGAGGAGTCTCAGAGGAAATGTCCTCCTTGTTGGTACAAGTTTGCAAACGTCTTCCTCATCTGGGAGTGCTGTCCCTTCTGGCTAAAGCTTAAGCACATCGTCTATTTGATTGTCATGGACCCGTTTGTTGATCTGGCCATCACCATCTGCATTGTGCTCAACACCCTTTTCATGGCCATGGAGCACTACCCGATGACTGAGCAGTTTGAGGGCGTCCTGGCTACTGGCAACCTGGTGAGACACTTCAGCTCTCCACATTTCATATATCACTTCGATAATTTTCCTGCCCGTATAAACGTCATCACCCTTCCCTAACAGTTACAGAAGCATTTCACAATTAGCTGTCTTCCTAAAGCAATTCATGCGTCATTTGGTATGTGCACTTAAGGACTCACACTTATGGGGATCTCATTAAAGATTTAGTTTCATTTTAATGTTGCCATCTCCCTAGAACTTAGAACCTTTGTCTGTTTCTCCTGAATACCAGGATCCTTAAAGGGCGGGCTTTGAACTTCATACAGGTTTTGACACACCAACAATCGTAACGTTAGGGGTGTTACAAAATGTTTTGGCCAGGACACACCACCTGAAGCAGACATTTTGATTTGGCTGCGCTCATCCCTTGCTTTCCAAATATCACTGTAGCGCAGCAGTATTGGCACTGTGTCAGCACTTAGACAGGAAATGAGGTCATAAGCTTTGGCACGTTGTCTAGAACGAAGCCAGTATTTAACTCGGTCTGTATAAGCTGTTGGATGGCGCAGTGTGAATCACTGGGTATCCTCTGCAGCATTGAGCAGACCTGGAATTAGCTGCTGGTTTAATGATAAGACTAAGTTTCTAGTATAAAAAAAAAACGTTTTTTTTTATTCTACAGTTCTGCAGTTGTCTTAAATGATAAGAACATTACTAATTGGCATTTATAAGGTATGTGAATGTTTCTGTTCGGTGCCCTTAGATAACTTATGTTGTGACTTGGCGCTATATAAATAAACTAAATTGAATTAAACTATTTTTTTAAACAACATTACATTCAGGATTAAATGTAGAACCACTAGACTGAGGAACAGCTTCTACCCTGAAGTTGGTAGATTCATGAATCCCTAATCAGGATTATCACTGTGAAAAAAATCACTGTAATGCCACTTGATTGTTGATATGTGCTGCTGATCTTATGCTGCTGATTTGTTTCATGCTGCTGTGTTCATTCGTACTCATCTGCTCACAGACTCATGTTCGTGCCGCTGTTGTTCGGTGTATTGTTTTTGTACTATTAATGCTTAGTGTATTTTTAGTTTAGCATATTTCTTAGTTCATATCTTAAATCTTATTACTGTTTTTCTTTACAATTTATGCTTTTTTTTTTGGACGTAACTGGGATCCTGTGCACACAATTTCGTTCCACCACATGTACCACATGCAGTGCGAATGACAAGTAAAGAAATTTAGACTTTGACATTCAGTGAAAATGCACAAACATGATTTCTATGGCATTTTATCTTTAATGCCATTATTATCTCTCCATTATTGGAAAAGTATTCATTTTGTGATTTAGGAATATTTATATTTATGTCTAACATGATTCTTTTGTCAATGGTGAACCCACGTGCAGGTAAAGGAAGGAGAACTCCAGTGTAAGCGTAATAATTATTTTATTTTACAAAAAACAAAACAAAGTGCTGATGGGGCAGCAAAAACTTTTGTGAAGGGAGATGAAGACAAGCAGCGCAGAACAGAACCATGAAGCCATTGGAAGGATGATGCCCAGACGCCGAAGAAGTGAAAAGACACAGACTACTGTAAATACAGACACTAGTGAGACAGAGTGGGAAACACCTGGGGTGATTGATCTGGTTGCAGGCAGACACTTTGAATACATTTTAAGCATTATGAACATAAATATGTGATGAGTTAGAACAGTCTGATCTAAATGAAGTAATCAGTTGTCGCTTTGAATCCCTCTGAAATCTCATTTTACATTCCATGTTCTTCTGCAGGTTTTCACTGGCATCTTTGCTGGGGAGATGTTTGCTAAGCTGATTGCCATGGATCCCTACTACTACTTCCAGGAAGGCTGGAACTGCTTTGATGGCTTCATTGTGACTCTGAGTTTGGTTGAGTTGGGACTGGCTGATGTGGAGGGTCTTTCAGTGCTTAGGTCTTTTCGATTGGTGAGTGCGAAAGATGTGCTTGCCAAGAGTATTTCTAAGAATATTGTAACTTGTCATCAACTGCCTTGTCTCTCAAGTTTTGTCATTTGAAAACAAAATGCAGTGGAATAATCCTGTTTTGTGGTCCTTTTGCAGTTAAGAGTGTTCAAACTGGCCAAATCATGGCCCACCCTCAATATGCTGATCAAGATCATTGGAAACTCAGTGGGAGCTCTGGGCAATTTGACCCTGGTGTTGGCCATCATTGTCTTCATCTTTGCCGTGGTGGGCATGCAGCTGTTTGGCAAAAGCTACAAGGACTGCGTGTGCAAGATCGCAACCGACTGTGAGCTTCCTCGCTGGCACATGCACGACTTCTTTCACTCTTTCCTGATTGTATTCCGAGTTCTGTGTGGGGAGTGGATTGAAACCATGTGGGACTGTATGGAAGTAGCAGGACAGGCCATGTGCCTTATCGTCTTCATGATGGTTATGGTTATTGGAAACCTGGTGGTAAGGAAAAACAACCATGTCATTGTGCACATGCAAACAAATGATATAGTAAAGATTTGGAGTTCCAGCTTTGGTTTTGTCTTTCTTCCTGAGGTGTTGAACCTGTTTCTGGCCTTGCTGCTGAGCTCTTTCAGTGCAGACAATCTCGCTGCTACCGATGATGATGGTGAGCCCAACAATCTCCAGCTTGCTGTTGCTCGCATTAAGTATGGGATTGCCTGGTTTAAGGCCAACATGCGGGTCTTCGTAGCAACAGTGCTCAAGAAGGTACATGCTGCATCCATCAGATCAACACATAGTTCTGTTAGTTTTAACTTCATCTCATCAGCTACATTCCTGCATTCTCACGGTGTTTCTGTTCATCCTAATTCTAACAAACAGCCTGCAGAAGAGGAGCAGAAACCTTTGGATGAAATGTATGAGAAGAAGCTTAACTGTATTGCAAATCACACAGTTGACATCAACCGTGAACTGGACTATCCCAAAAATGGCAACGGTACAACCAGTGGCATTGGGAGCAGCGTGGGGAAGTATATGATTGATGAGGACTACATGTCCTTCATTCACAACCCCAACCTCACCGTGTGTGTCCCCATTGCGGTTGGCGAGTCGGATTTTGAAAACCTGAATACAGAAGACTTCAGCAGCGAATCGGACATTGAGAACAGCAAAGATGTGAGTAGAAAGTATGATTAAGAATGTGACAGTCATGGAAATGTGGTTTAATATGACAAGTTTCATTATCTCTTCACGTGGCAGGCTAACATAGGAGTTAGAGATACTGGTTACAGGGGATCTCATAGACAGTTTTAAGATAATGCCTAAACAGTCAGCAGAAGGAAGCAGTAGGGTTTGTGGGTAGCTTGATTACATAACATACAAGGGTATCTGAAAATAGCAATGGTATTATTTTGAATATCATCCTTAAAAGAATCTGCCACTCTGGAGCTGCACTGACTAAATGGTACAATGTTAGACATAACCACCTTGCTTGTTTCACCAATCCACAACCTGTTTGTTTTTATTCTGATAAAAATGCATTGAAAGTGTCTTTAATGATAGCGCTCTTATAAATTACAGCTGCCATATCTCTTAAAACATGTCACAATTTTTATTATACTCGCAAACGTCAGCAGCTGTCAGAGGCTGATGAGGAGAAGAAAATAGTGCATGTTAGGTTGTCTGATTAAAAAAAAAAAACTTGTGCAGTGAAGGCAGAGGGACACATTGAAAGGAGTAGTAGCAGTCAGTAATACAATATTCTGAAATATGATTTAAAGAAGAATGAATTGTATCAAAAAATGGATACTGCACAACTCTACTTAGCAATGGCAGGTGTGAAGCCAGGCTGCATGTCTTTGTATTAGATGAGAGACATACTGCTAAAAGTCATATTTACTACAAGGGCTTTTTTTTATTTATTCAGCCTTTATTTGTACAAGTTAGTTCCTATTGAGCCTTGAAGACTCGACCTGCTACAGACAGACCAAAGTAGATAAGGAAAAGAGAAAACACGAGGGGAGGGGAGGGGAGGTTAAAAAAAAAGTCATATCTCGCATATGTCCTGTCCGGGGCACAGTGTGAAAGTTGAAAAAAAAAAAAAAAAGACCTTGCACATAAACAGCAACATACTAATGGCATCTAGGGCTGTACGATATAGCCAAAATTTTTATCACGATATATTTCTTAATTTTGGTCATAACGATATAATTCTGATATTGATATAAACAATATAAAAGTCTCAGCAAAACTGTACAAACTGTACAAATAAATTAATTCCACCTTTTATTTGTATTTAGCATTCAAATAAATTTGAAATCACTGTCAAATAAACGTAAAACTCTCAACTTTTTCAATATTAATAATTGTAACTTTAAACAACAACATAACATAACCCATGCAGCACACAGCTGCGTTATAATACATTTATGCATGAGGAGGCCGATGAGGGCAGTGAGTTGTCCGTAGAGACTGCCAGAAAGTTCCATAGTCCTGATAAAGATGGCACAGTGTCTATCAGCCGGATCAAGTCTGACACAGATCCACAAAGGTTTAACAGTCCTTGTGACTAAATCCAAGCTGGGTTTACCGTCTTCTGGCATATAGCAATAATTTTCCATTTTAAGGACATTACAGTGAAGCTGGAAACAGTTTGGTTCTGGTGGTTTGTGTGAAATTAAACTTGATGGAGACAGATAATGTAGCCGTGTTTACATTTATGTTTTATTACGTCACTCCAAGTTTTCTTCTAGTACTAACAATACAAGTTTGCGAGAAAAGGTAACTTTGTTATTTAGCAATGGGATTAGCAGGGCTAGTCTTAGCTGCATTTCCGAACATCCATTTAGACAAGAGTGCTGTAACATCAAGCCTAAGTGCTGATTTCGCACACACAATGAACAGCAGACCGAGGCATGCCCAATGAAGTGACAGACCGAGAAACAAAGCCTTCTGTGGATTATGAATGTGGGAAAAGGATGAGCCAGACCCAAAGCTTGTGAAGATGTGTGAAATGTAGGTCACCTTGACTTGACTTACTGTAGGACGAAAAAATATGTTACAGCTGCTATTTTACCTGCACAGGGATCCTATTCCATCAGACACCCTCATCACAACAATCTTGTCTGCATCACATCCAACCACAGAGCACTCAGGGAGAAACACACAGAGAGAGCCAACTGGCTGTCTGATGAAGAGAAAAAGGCAGAAAGATGAAAAGGGAGGAAATGCTTTCCTTTGCTGACAATCTAAGTGCATAAAGTGCAGTACATTGTACATTTTCTGTTTTATCGTAATCCAAAGTATTCAAAGAGAGGAGGGGTTTTCTTGTAGACATTTCACCTCAAGCACTTCCTCTGTTCTGTCTGACGCGAGCTGGAGAGGCTTTTTTAAACGAGAGTTGACACGTCTTTAAGTTCTGTTGAATAAAGTGCAGCCTCATTCTATCTTGAAGCAACGTAGCTCTGTGAGCCTTCATCCTTCATGTGAATAATCATGCTGATTTATTGGTTTTAACATGGTGTGATTTAGTTGTTAGGGTTAGATCCCGTAAATCTTTTTTTCTCATATGCAACAAGAAAAAAGGTATTTAATTATGGAAGCTGAGAAAGATGCTTTTTGAAAAACACTGTTTTCAACTTCCATCCATCCATTATCTTTACCAGCTTCTTCCTTTTTGGGCCACTGGTGCCCATGTCCAGCTATCACTGTGCGTGAGGTGGCACGTATATGTTGTAATATGCATTATAGCAACTTGTTTTGTTTGGGTACAGTATGCAATCAATTAAAACAATCCTTCAGCAACCATTCAAAACTAAAGAAGTTGTTTTTATAAGTTCAGTGATAACTATCATCAGTCACTAGTGAGAGCTTTGAGTCTTCTTGTCTGTTACTCTGCAGAATAGTCTGTTGCAGAAAAAAGCTAGCTATGCTACATAGCTACAATATGTATACATCCTGCACTAAATCAACGCATGTTGGCTTTAAAGCAATGGCTTACACTGTGCCACTTACTGTATATGTGGTATATGTTTTGAAGATATAACATAAAGAAAGCAGTTCAGACATTGATTTGATCTCTTCTGTCCCAGCTGGATGACACCAGTTCATCTGAGGGCAGCACGATAGACATCAAGCCGGATGTGGAGGAAGTGGCAGTGGTTGAAGTTGTAGAGGAGTACCTTGACCCAGAAGCCTGCTGGACTGACGGTACATGATGCTTAAAATCTGCTGTTGATTTGCCATCATTATCACCTTCTCTATCCAAAATTCATGGCATTATGACTCACATGCATTTTACTTTTGTAGCATTTTAAAGTACCTCAGCCTCTCCAGTGTATATCAGCAGCGTTGTTTTTATTTGTACTGCAGAATGTGTGGCTAAATACAAGTGCTGTGATGTTCCCATCACTCACGGCTGGGGAAAGTACTGGTGGTTCCTGAGGAAGACCTGCTACCTGATAGTAGAACACAACTGGTTTGAAACCCTTATCATCTTTATGATCCTGCTCAGCAGTGGAGCCTTGGTAAACAGCGCAGACAAACTCACACAAAAGTGTGTTCCCACTAGTAAAAATACACAGACACTTCATGTAATGCTGAGTTTTACTGCAAAGCACATGGAAATCAAGTGGGTTGATGGTTTTATGCCAAATGATGTGTAAGAAACAATTTGAGAGTCACAGCTGGGAAAATAGATTTTTATAAGTATTCAAATGGACTTAGCATTTATTTAAAGATAGAGAGCATGATTTGCCTTTGAGGATGTGGGCAGCCAAGAGAACTGCTTGCTTTTCTTCTGCAACTGCTCTTGATGTTATAGCCACTAATGGACAGCAAAGTGTTGTAATGCACCAACCTTTCAACCAAAAGGATTCAGCTTAGCGTTGCAGCTTTCTGAAGGAAAAAAGGCCTCTGGCAAAATCCAAACGCTTACGTACTGAAGAATGCATGCAGGCTATGAAGGGCCTGTCAGTCATCCTGTTGTCTTTATCAACTTTTTTGTCATTTATGATGCACACCAACACTACTGGGTACCACTCAGATATCCAAAATGTTTAATTATTTAAGTGAAATATGTTATGGATTATATATGTTTACTCACTGATAGCTAAGTAACTCATCCTTGCTTTTGTTTTAGGCCTTTGAAGACGTGTACATTGAACAGAGGAAGACCGTGCGCATCATTCTGGAATATGCGGATCGGGTTTTCACCTATATCTTCATCCTGGAGATGTTGCTGAAATGGGTTGCCTATGGCTTTGTCAAGTACTTTACAAACGCCTGGTGCTGGTTGGACTTCTTCATCGTGGATGTAAGTACAGTTAAAATGTGTTTGTCTATGAAATGGTTGTTTTGTAAAATTTTCTTTTTGTCTTTTTCGACACTTGTATATGTTTGATGTTCAAGGAAAATGTAAAGTTTGTTTTGGGTCAAAAGGTTTTGGAGACTCCCAAGTCTGAGGATTATTGAGAAAAAAGGTGTGTGTGGATCCAAAACAGTTATTTTAAACAAAGCAAAACCTTATTTTGTGCATCTGCCACAGTTAAGTGTTAAAAATACACCTGATTTATTTTACTAGAGAAGATATTGTCACTAATCAAGTCTTCTTTGTTTCAATGCTTTGTGTATGACCAAAACAAAAGTCTGATGGCTTTTTATTTATTATATTTTATTAGGAATTTAATTAGCATATAATAGTTTTCAAAAATGCAAACAAATTTCTCTAAAAATTAATCCAATTGCATATTTTTGTCAATTTATTAGTTTGTAAGTTTTGGTGAAAGTTATGAATGTAAAGAAATTAAAACACAGTGGTTCTCAAAATTTTTCTGTTGGGCTCCCAATTGTCCAAGACCCCCCAACACCCCTGGCCCACAGACATACGACGTAACAATGCATAGGCACTTTTAACGAAAAGTTTTACTCTTCTTTTTTGTTTTCTCTGAATATTTTTTTGTCTATTTTAACACACACCACCCAAAAAAAAATAAAAAATTTAACTGAGCAACACCCCGCAACCCCGTTGGATATAATTCTGACGATTCTACCTGTACGTTACAGAAGCCAGTTGGTTGATTTTATGTGTATTTATTCATATTTCTAGATTGTTTCCAAGGAACATCCTATCTGTAGTATTGTTCTTGTTGTTTTTGTTTAAATAGCAAAAAAAGTTAGTTTTGATGGTGTTTATAGCCGTACAAACACAACCAGCCCATTTCAGACAAACGTTAAAATGAGCAATGCGCTGTTGTATCTTAGGTTTTATCCACAACAATTTAATCCTAAATTGGTAAGTATATGATTCTCTGCTGAACATGAGTTTCACAGCAGCCTTAACTGTGACTTCCCAAAGTTTTGGAATACAATTTAAAACCTAAGAAATACTAATATGAACTCATTGTCTCCATGTCTGCTAATTTCAGCTACAGTTCCTGAATTAATCTGTCACTGTGTCCACATCTGAATCACTGTCTGTTGAGAACGATGATTAGTTTTGGCTGTGCGATCTAAAGGAATGGTTGGCTTTTCTCACAGACATCTGTCACTGTTTGAATCCATCCTGAGGGAAAATGATCTTTTATAAAAACCTTAAAAAATGAATCCATTGGTTACCTTCCATGGCCGTGAATTCGTTGTCTTTAGAAGGTCTCGTAGTAAACAAAAATCATGAGGGTTTATAGTTTGAGAACTGGACACAAAAAGATTTTGTAATTCACAAAGTTTCAGCAGAAATCCCTGTCATGGTGTGGAACAGATGAACAGTGGAGAGAGCATCGCCAACACTGCTGCATAAGGACAAGTGCGTGCGTTTAGCACTTATTCTACAAATAGGTTCATGTTGGTGAAGAAATAACCGAGTATTTTCTTTTCACAAGACACAAGAAGTGCGCATTGATCATGTAAAACTACATTATTCGATGTGTGATGTACAGTTTGATGTTAAGGTGCTTTTTCAACCCTTTGATGCAGTTTAAGTTTTGATTAGTGACCCATCCATCCATCCATTATCTTTTACCCGTTTCTTCCATTTTGGGTCACGGGGGTCGCTGGTGCCCATGTCCAGCAATCACTGTGCGAGGGGCAGGGTACACCCTGGATGGGTCGCAAGTCCATCACAGGGCCACATAGAGACAAACGAGACAAACAACCATTCACTCTCTCACTCACACCTAGGGACAATTTAGAGTCACCAATCAGCCTAACATGCATGTTTTTGGTCTGTGGGAGGAAACCGGAGTACCCGGAGAAAACCCACGCATGCACGGAGAGAACATGCAAACTCCACCCAGAAGGCCCCTGGACCGGGGTTTGAACCAGGGACCTGTTCGCTGAGAGGCAGCAGCTCTACCAGTCGCGCCACCGTGCTGCCCCTTGATTAGTGACCATTTTTAAAAATTTATTTACTGTATTTAAAGGTGTGTCACTATTTTATTACAGTGGTAATTCCACAAAAGCAACTTTTTACACCTAAATCACAGTTAATCTAATTTCTAAATGTTATTTAAAGAAGAAATTACAACAGGACGAGATGATGGCGGTTCCAAGTCAACAAAACGAGAGTCCCCAACAGAAGTCTTTTCTAAATTTGTTGTTTAACTTGAGATGCAGACAAGAATCAGCTTTTAAAATTTAAGCAACATTTAAAAGTTCTTCTGAAGTTCTGTACACCTCTTAAAGCTAATCCAGGATTATCAACATTTATTTTTTTATAATTCACTTAGATTTGAGTGAAAACACTGTTAATACTCTGGAAATACTCCGTTTTATTTTTTTTCCTCGATTTTTAAAATTTTTAATGTAAAGGTATTCTTATTTCTTCAATTTTGATGTCATTCATCGACCACATTTATTTATTTATTTTCTTAAATTGTTGGCCTTTTCTTGTTATTTCTCTTATGAGCTTTTTTTGTTAGCTTGTTTTAAAATTTAAAGTCTGACTTTTTTCCTTTTGGTCACATCTTTTGTTGTTAACAAAGGTAGATATTTGTACTTTGTACACATTATTAAAATGTGCTTTTTAACAGCGTGTAGACTCATTGAATATTAATATTCGAAACAGCACAAATTGCATTCATTTTTTTTAAAGAAATGGGTAATATCTTTTGAAATGGGGTTCTGTAGAAATGCTATGAACAATTAATATCTTACCTGTTGTAGATACCTCTTTTAACAACCTCAGTTTGGCGAAAAATAATTTTATTCTGGCTGGACTGATGAGCTAACAGCTAATTTGACCAGTACCAAAATGGATTAATGCCATCTTAAAACAAACGCAATCTCAAAAATGCTGCTGCAGCTTATTTAGCCATTTATTACATCACCACCGAGTTCACATTACGCAGTCATTTACATAGTATTTTATAATTATTTGCAAGAGCAAATATTGGCAACAGTAGCTAGCTGTAGCATTTGCATAAATATCATATTTCTGCCAGAATAACTGTGTAATGGCGCTGCTCAGGCTGTATATGAGCTTTTCAATCTGGTCACATTGATTTATTTCCTCAAACTGAAGTTGTTTGAACAGCCATCTACAACAGGCAAGATATTAAATGTTCATAACCTTCTCAAAAACATCACTTCAAAAGATCTGAACTATCACTTTTAAGCCAAACCTCATGTTCTGGTCTATGTACTTGGCTTTAATTAGATAAGTATTATGAATGTAGCTGTAATATTGAGATTTTCTCTGTTGATTTTTTTTAAACTAAGTAGTTAGGCAATTAGAAATACAGAAACAATCACCTATCTCTTTCAAATGCTACCTGTCAGGAAAGGAGACTTACTGCTCTGCGTCATTATCACTGACCTGTCCTCTCTCTTACAGCAGGTGTCTCTAACTTTGTCTCTTTTTAAGTTCAGAGACATTGTGCATCTGTCGAGAGGGACTGAGAGGTCGGTGTTTGGGGGTCCAGGGTAAGGTTTGTGTGCTGTGGTGGGTCTCCTACTTTCACAGGTTATCCTCTCTTCTAACCCTGAAAGTTGTCCTCAACTTCGTACCTTTTCTCTCCCCTTTCTAAAGTGTCCTCTGGTGTGCTACTGTTTCGTACCGTGTACTGTGTGTATATGAACGTGTCACATTGATTTGGTGTTCGTGAACACATCTCTCCTCTGATTTGTCCCTTTGTTTGACTCTCTTCTCTTCCTCTCACTGTGTCAACCACAAGTTTCTTTCCAGGTGTGCTCACTGTGCTGTAAAGCTGGTTATCACGCTAGACTGGCTTGCCAAAACTAAACCGAACACAAACACGTTTTCCAAAAGAAAACCTCTGAGTCCACTTTATTTACTTTTTTACGTTGTGTATATTGTAGAAATATTTTCGCACGTAAAGATTTTTTTGTACTAATCTGTATCTAATCACAAAGCCATCCTTGCAGTTGGTGTAGGGTCCCTTTTTCTCTCTAGATCCCTTCTAACTGTGTGGGTCCTCTCTTCCTTTGCTTCTGTCTTTCCTTCTCCTTCTGTCCCTATCTGTGTAGGTGTCTATAGTCAGCCTTATAGCTAATGCTTTGGGCTTCTCCGATCTAGGCCCGATTAAATCACTCAGGACACTGAGGGCCTTGAGACCCCTCAGGGCCCTGTCACGTTTTGAAGGGATGAGGGTAAGACCTGAGGCACCAGGTAGCTGGTCCTTTTGCATGCTGTTTTAAAGAAAAGCTTTAACGCATGCTAGAAATGGCAATATAATAATAATAATTTTAATTAAATCCTAAAAAAAAAAAAAAAAAAAAAATCAAATCTTTACAGCATCTATCAGTGAAAAGTTTTTTTTTGCATGGATGAAGATCATCTCAGATGGTTGTAATGCATCTGATTTGATTTATCATATTTGATATCACATATGATAAAAAAATAGCATTATATTCAGGCTAGTAGCAACAATTTTTCTATCAAAAGTAATATCTAATTTAAAAAAAAAAGTATCCCTCCTATCTCTCTACCTGAATGATGCAGCACAATAAAAGCTCAGTTTAGATGCTGGCTGAGAAACAACTAGAGGCTGGCATGAACTGTCACACCAAAACTTTTCAACCTAAAACACAGAAGTAAATGACAACACTCACTGAGAACAAAAAGAAGAAGAAAGGTTTAGCAGCCAGATGGAGTGGTGGACATGGAATGAAACTGCATGTGCTGAAAGTCTTGTGACTGGACTGCAATGATTACAGTATTGGATCAAATGGAATAAAGTGTTAGCAGTATGGTACACCTGTCTGGGCAAGACACGAGTGGTGATTTGAAGCAGAATGAAGCAGCTGTTGTTTCCGCTCCTGCAACGTCGGCCAACAGCTGTTCTAATTGGCCCTTGAGATTTTTATTTTATTTAATCAGGCAAATCACATTAAGATCACAAATCTCCATTTCAAGAGAGGTCTGGGCATCGAGGTAGCCTAAACACATGTTTATGGGCTGTGGGAGGAAAACGGAGTACACGGAAAAAATGCAAACATGAGAAGAGCATGCAAACTGCACAGAAAGACCCCAGGTCCAATCCAGGGATTAAACCCAGGACCTTCTTGCTGTGGCAACTGAATTGTTGTGCTGCCAGCAGATCAGCTTTGGATTATTGCCAAGTTGATACCACTCAATTTCTGTTATGTAAAATATTAGTATACCTTGCTGACCACTTGAGGACCTCAGTATAATGCAAGCAGTTTAAAGATGAATGTACGAGTAGTCAGGTAGTGAATTGTCGAAAAACTGCACCAAGGTGCAGTCTCAGGAAGGGTGAGCATCCATCTCTGCTCCAGTGTGAACGGCAGCCTAAACTAGGACTGTGAACCTGTGGACCAACCGATGCCAGTCGTCGAACTACACTATGGGGTGACACAGGAAGTCCAGTTCCTGTATCTGGAAGATAAATGCAGATGTTTTGAAGTTCTATATTGCCTGGTGTTCAGCACAACAGCTTTTTGGTGGTGGTCTGCCTTGGGCACCCAGAACCTTCATAATGTATGTGGATGCCCAGTGGTTTGAGCATCTTGCTACTTTGAAACCTGTATGCCCTAAACAAGTGGTTCCCAATCCTGGTCCTTGAGGAACACCATCCTGTATGTTTTAGTTGTTCCTCTGCTCCATCACACATGATTCAGTGGTTTAGTTACTTCCTTAAGTTTGGCAGAAGCCTGTTAAATCACCCTTTCATTCAAATCAGGTGTGTTGGAGCAAAAGATCACTTAAAACAAACAGGGTGGTGTTCCTCAGGGACCAGGATTGGGAACCACTGCCCCTGAACCAATAATGTGGCACCTATTAAAAGCCAAGGGCTGCAATGGCTGTCTACTGTGTCTAAGAGGATCCTTTTGTTTGATGGCCTTCACCTTCACTGTTATGACTAATTCCTGGATGCTCTGGGAACTGCCTGATAACACTTTAACTCCACTTGTGATGCCACCATTTAGTGCTCTCTGGTGCCAGATGACATTTTCATTGTTGGTTTGCATGTGTACCCGACTGCATCCAGATACTTTTTGTGAGTGCATTGTTCTTGCTCAAACAGGCCATTACCCAATTAAACGATCTCAAGGTTCAATTGCTTCCTAACCAACCAACAGTTCAAATTTCCAAAAGCCTATAAATTTCAACTTGAAAAGTCAAGAAAGTTCTCTTTATTGTCCACTTTGATGGGTCTGATCAGCCTCTGGTTGTTGTTGAGCAAGAGAAAAACAAAACCTTGTTTGTGTTTAGGCTTGGCATCTTCAGACCTCTGCTCTGCCTCAAGTGTCCCGTTATCTGATCTTATAACAGTTTGGCTTTGGCATTGTCACACTGGAAGATCAACAAACTTCTGGTTGCATATCCCCCCTCCCCTGCCATCCCTGCTCATCACTCCTCAGTGATTCTCATCACTATGAGTTTCATGATCACAGTTTTGCTGTGATATTAACTTATCACATAGTTGCATTGTCTCTGTATTATGATATTAGACAGGGAAACGTGAACAAAGATATTTTACATTTGTTGTATGTCTATAGATTTTTTTTTTTTGAAGGGGGGAGGGGTTTTTTTTGTCTACATGACACCACTGCATCTGGAAATGCACATTCAAATGATTTTTAATTATCAGCACTTCATAGTCTGTTGTCCTTGTTCCAGTAAGAAAACAACATTCAAATCAACTTGACCAGTTTTACACAAATGGTGGAAAATAGTTGTTCGAATACGTTGGCCAAATGCTTTATATAGGATCTAAATATCTTGTTTTGTAAAATAAAATACATAAAAATGAATCTTATAGGAGTGTAACAATACATTGTGGCACAAAACATTTCAGTTAATTCAATATTTTGGATCAAATTGTATTAGTTACAGCTGAGTGGCAGTTTGATGTCAAGTACTGATGACCATGTGTCAGCTACAACCAAGCGTCATGTGCCACTCCAAAAATATAAAAATGGATGTGTAAGACAGTTTTATTTGTTTACTTTCATGGTGCAACATTTGTCATTTGTTGGCAATGTGCATTGTGTGTCCTTCTAAGTATTTTTACACTCCCTTGTATCGTATAATAGGCTTGAACTTATGCTAAGAAACAAAATAAATAAATAAAAAACACACGTGAGATTCCTATAGAAGAAGAGTGTGCATTTCTATGTGTATGTAGATGTTCTTCTGTGTGAACGTCGTCGTACAGCTGCTGTGTGAAAGGTTAAATTACAGTTTTGTTTCTATGCTGCTCTCCGCAGGTTGTAGTGAACGCCTTGGTGGGCGCCATCCCCTCTATCATGAATGTGCTGCTGGTGTGTCTCATCTTCTGGCTCATCTTCAGCATCATGGGTGTCAACCTGTTTGCTGGAAAGTATTATTACTGCTTCAACGAGACCGCGGAAGAGTACTTTGAGCCAGACGAAGTGAACAACAGAACGGAGTGCTTTGCGCTCATTAACGCAAATTTCACTGAAGTCAGATGGAAAAACGTTAAGATCAATTTTGACAATGTGGGTGCTGGGTATCTGGCTCTCTTGCAAGTGGTAAGGAACTTTTTTGTTGCATCATTTCCCTTTTTTGCTACTGGCAAACATATTGTCTTACACTGTGATTGTCTGCTTCACAGGCAACATTCAAAGGCTGGATGGATATTATGTACGCAGCTATAGACTCTAGAAAGGTAGGCCTTTACAGCTTTAATTTCTGATATTCAGATCTTTGCTTAGTTTGCATTTTGATATGTTTATGTTGTCATTTTACAGGTGGAAGACCAGCCCCTCTATGAGGACAATCTTTATATGTACATCTACTTTGTCATATTCATCATCTTTGGCTCATTCTTCACCTTAAACCTCTTTATTGGTGTCATCATTGATAACTTCAACCAACAGAAGAAAAAGATAAGACACATTTTCTTCACTTTCATCTTTTCAGAAAAGCTAGTTTATATTAAATGAATACTTTGGTATTTAAAGAGATAGAATTGTTTTTCTTAAAGAAAGTGTGATCCGAATCAGCTTTATTGTCATTGCACAAAGTACAGTGAAATTCCATACAGCCGTCTGAAAGATGGACAGAAGTGTACAGGGGCTGCAGCTTCTAAGAAGCACTGCCGTTATTGCTTAGACAAGAGAAGAGGAAGAAAACATGAGGAGGAGAGAGGTATAAAAAAATATCTCTCACACCATGTCCTACAGGGCTCGGTTTGAGGCATCAAAAAAATCTACCACAGCTAAGCAACATAAATAGACATAAAACATATGTGTGTGGAGTGGGGGGTCCCAAGATGAGCGACAGGTGAGCGACGTAGCCCTTTGGTGCCTTCGCGTCTCCTAGGTTGCTACACCAGGGGAAGTGAGGGAGCCTAGTGGAAACATTGATCTTTAGCCCCCAGCCATAGTCCTGGTAAGAGGTGTTTATTTATCAGCCAGCTTGGTTAAGTTCTGGCACTTGTCCACAACCTTGGGGAAGGGAGGGGGTGGGGAGGGGGCCAGAGGGTCTTTGTTTCCATAACATCCAAGGAGGAATTGTCCATCTTCCAAGGCCAGGTCCAGATTCAGATATCAGCATTGTTTTGGGTCAGGCCGAACTCGTAAATTTCTGATGAGTATCAGTACCACCTCTGTGAAAATTACACATTAGAAATATGTGATCTATATCTTTGGAGATTGTAACCAAATTGTTTTTGTTTCTTTACTTTGGAGGTCAGGATATTTTCATGACAGAAGAGCAAAAGAAGTATTACAATGCCATGAAAAAACTAGGGTCAAAGAAACCACAGAAACCAATACCAAGGCCTCAGGTAAACATCCCATCAATCGTCAAATCTTGGTAAGCTTATCATTTAGCCGTCTTAAAGCTGGGATAATGACCTTAAACATGATTTTATTTTTCTCAGAATAAGATCCAGGGCATGGTGTTTGACTTTGTGACGCAGCAGGTATTCGACATCTCCATCATGATCCTCATCTGCCTTAACATGGTGACAATGATGGTGGAAACGGACGATCAGTCAGATGACACAGAGGTTGTGCTTTACTGGGTCAACTTCATATTCATTGTGATCTTCACCGGCGAGTTTTTACTCAAGCTGTTTGCGCTGCGTCACTACTACTTCACCAACGGCTGGAACATCTTTGATGTGGTTGTGGTCATCCTTTCCATTGTGGGCAAGTATTAAAAAATGTTTTTTTTTTATGGACAGAAAAGTATGTGGTGTTTTAGTTCATATATTCACACAAAGAATGTCATGAAGGTTCAGAGTAACACTCAACCAAGAATGTATATATACAAAAAACATCTGAATTAATCAAAGCTGTAAAGTTTGGTCTAGCTTGGAGGTACAGTAGTCCCTCGTTTATCGTGAGTGATCCATACCCTAAAGCCCCGCAATAAGTGAAAAACCACGAAGTACGAATAGTAGTACAAGGAGGAAGTTGGTTTTTTTTTACTATGTGTGTGTGTGAAGGTGTTTTAAACTCTTCCCACACCCTTGCAATGTTTTAAACGATGTGTCTAAACTCTAAACACTCTAAAAGAGCATAGAATGTCATGATTTCAGCTCCCTGCCTCCACTGCTCTCAGCCACCTGCATGTGTTCTTGGCCATACCCACTTTCCTGCTGTGCACGGAGAACAGCTGTTCTGCTGCAGCAGGAAGTTTATCCTTCAGTGTGGGCTGCACCAAGAACCGAAAAGACCACCCAGCACCAGACTCACCTCACCACCGGATGAAGAGTACCTCAGCGTGCCCTCAGCAAAAGTAAGGAGTATTTTCAGGAGGATTAATCCACACAAGGGAACCGGCCCAGACAACATCCCCGGAAAAGTGTTGAATGAATGTGCCGATCAGCTCTACGAGGTGCTGGCAGACATCTTTAACACCTCACTTACCCTGGAGAAAGTTCCCATCTGCATGAAGACTGCCACCATCATCCCAGTCCCAAAAAGCTCTACAGTGACTGGTCTGAATGACTATCGACCAGTGGCCCTCACCCCGATAGTCACTAAATGCTTCGAAAAACTGGTCATGACCCACATCAAAACAACCATCAACATCAACGAGGACCCTCATCAGTATGCATACCGCGAGAACCGATCAACAGAGGATACCATACCAATTTATTTATAGAGCACTTAAAACAGCAACAATGGATGGACAAGGATGCCATCTCCTCTGTGGTCCACACTGCGTTCAACCACCTGGAGCAGAAAGACTCTTACATCTGTATGCTCTTTGTGGACTTCACATCTGTCTTCAACCCCATGATCCCCCAAACCCTGATGGACAAACTATTCACACTAGGACTAAGCCCCTCCATTTGCAACTGGGTACTAGACTTCTTAATAAACAGACCACAGTCAGTGAGGATCCACAACTTCTCCTCCTCCACCATAACCCTCAGCACTGACTCTCCTCAGGGATGTGTGTTGAGCCCCCTCCTGTTTACTCTGCTCACGTATGATTGTGCAGCTACCCATCCAGGCTGTCATATTGTAAAGTTTGCAGATGATACAGCGGTGGTGGGATGCATCACAAACAATGATGAGTCCAGCTACAGGCAAGAGGTGGAACACCTGGAGAGCTGGTGCAAAGAGAATAACCTTCACATCAATGTGAAGAAGACAAAGGAGATGACTGTGGACTTCAGAAGGAACAAACACACCTACACCCCCCTGAACATAAGAGGATCTGCAGTGGAAGTGGTCTCCAGCTACATGTACTTGGGTGTACACATGATTGACAACCTCAGCTGGAGCAAAAACACTTCCAGCCTGATCAAGAAAGCTCATCAGAGACTCTACTTCCTCAGGCGGCTGAGACGAGCTGGACTGGGAAGCTCAGTCTTCACCTCCTACAGGTGTGCAGTGGAGAGCATCCTGTGCTCGAGCATCAACGTGTGGCATGGAGGCTGCACAGCTGCAGAAAGAAAAGCTTTGCAGAGAGTGGTGAAGGCTGCACAGAAGACTGTTGGAGTCAGCCTCCCCACCATCACAGACATTTACACCTCCAGATGCAGAAAGAGGGCCACCTGCATCATGAAGGACCCCACTCACCCAGTACACACACTTTTTGCCCCGCTCCCTCAGGAAGGAGGTTGAGGAGCATTAAGTGTAGAACCACTAGACTGAGGAACAGCTTCTAGGCTGTTAGACTCATGAATCTCTAACCAGAATAATCACAGTGAAAAATCACATCATGTTGCTACTGATCTGTTTCATGTTGCTACTGATCTGTTTCATGTTGCTGCTGATTTGTTTCATGTTGCTGCAGATCTGTTTCATGTTGATGTGTTCATGCATGCTCATTTGCTCACACAGACTCACGCTCATGTTCGTGCTGCTGTTCGACATAATGTTTTTATGCTATTAGTGCTTAGTGTATTTTTAGATGATGTTTTTATTAGTTCATATCATAGATGTTATCATTGTTTTTCTTTTACATTTTATTGTTGGATGTAACTGGGACCCTGTGTACATAATTTTGTTCCATCACATGTACTACAAATGGTGCGAACGACAATAAAGAATCTCTGACTCTGACTCTCTTACTTTGACAAAGATGTAGGAGGAAGCTTTTTCTGCAGCTCTGGTCTGAACAAATGTGCAGCAGGTGCTAAATAATTTAAAATATATCATTTTAAATAAAAAATCCCATGCCAATCGTGTGGCTCATCCATCAATCAGCCAATTGTGTGTCATGTCCAGTCCTACTCTGAAAAACCACAATAGAGCTAGTCCACAAAAACGAACCACGAAGTAGCGAGGGACTACTGAATATCCAGTATTCTGCTCCTTATACAAATTTATGGTATGTGATTTTGTTTAGATGTTTAATTTATTGGCATTCAAACATCATTTTTTAATTAAAGCATATTATTTATAAGGCTCCCTGACAAAAACTAATCCCAAAACACATCTCAACATCAACAATGTGACTACCTCAATAGGTATAATATGAAGGTTTTGCCATGACAGTTTCTAAAATCAATGCTATTAAAAACATGATTGGACCTTTAGTGGTGAGAAATGGAAAAAACATAACAAATCCAGATGCATCATCATTTTTTTGTATAATGAACAAAATAAGATTTCCCCTACTAGAAATGAAAGGCTCCTACTATAGTTTTTTTTTTTTTTTTTTACCATTTAATAAGAAACTTTAATTACGGTAGTTTGAATTTGTTTAAAAAAGTGACAAACGTGTTTTTTTTACATGAAAACTTAGTAAAACAGATCATTTTAACCATTTTTATTAGCAAACATTTTGTCCCCAAGAGCTCAAAAAAGTTACTTCTAAGTTGTTAATGAAGAACCAGACATTTGAACACTGAATGATCTGTCTTGATTTACCTGTGTTTAAGCAGCACTTTACTAAATATTTCTGTATTTTAACCAAACATGTCTTTTTGCTTTCTTTGAACCTCAGGAATGTTTCTGGCTGATCTGATAGAAAAATACTTTGTTTCACCAACGCTATTCAGAGTGATTCGTTTGGCTCGAATTGGCAGAATCCTGCGTCTCATCAAAGGTGCCAAGGGAATCCGAACTCTGCTGTTCGCCCTTATGATGTCACTTCCTGCTTTGTTCAACATCGGCCTCCTGCTTTTCCTGGTCATGTTCATCTTCTCCATCTTTGGCATGTCCAACTTTGGGTATGTGAAACACGGGGCTGGAATTGATGATTTGTACAACTTTGAGACATTTGGAAACAGCATGATCATCTTGTTTATGATCACCACATCTGCTGGCTGGGACGGTCTGCTGTTGCCCATCCTTAACTACCCCCCAGACTGTGACTCCCACCTGGAGAACCCTGGCACCCCTGCCACTGGAGACTGTGGCAACCCATCCGTGGGGATTTTCTTCTTTGTTATGTACATCATCATTTCTTTCCTAATTGTGGTCAACATGTACATTGCCATCATCTTGGAGAACTTCAGTGTGGCTACAGAGGAGAGCGCCGACCCACTCAGTGAGGACGACTTTGAGACCTTTTATGAAATTTGGGAGAAGTTTGACCCTGATGCCTCCCAGTTCATCACCTATTCTAAGCTTTCTGACTTTGCTGATGCACTTGAACACCCGCTGCGCGTCCCCAAGCCGAACACAATCGAGCTAATCGCTATGGACATGCCCATGGTCAGTGGAGACCGCATACATTGTCTGGACATCCTGTTTGCCTTCACCAAGCGTGTACTGGGTGACAGCGGCGAGTTGGACATGCTGAGGCAACAAATGGAGGAGCGTTTTGTAGCAGCCAATCCTTCCAAGGTCTCGTATGAGCCAATTACCACCACCCTGAGGAGAAAGCAGGAAGACGTGTCTGCCAGGATCATTCAGAGGGCCTACCGTTCCTACCTGGCCCGGCGAGGATTTGTATGTAAGCGCAAACCAGCCAGCAACAAACCTGAGAACGATGGAAACAATCAAGAACAAGAAAAGAAGGAGGGCACGCCATCAACTGCCTCCCTGCCCTCTTATGACAGTGTTACCAAACCTGAGAAGGAGAAACAGGACGACAACAATGAGGGGAAAGGAGAAAGGAAAGAGAAAGGAAGAAACCAAAAAGACATCAGGGAATCTCAATGTTAGTGGGCAGGAAGGAAGAATAATCACATTCATAACAATAAAGTAATGTAACTTCAAGCAAAGTGAGAGGAAACTCACCCACACAGATGTACAGATTATTGCATTTGCAAGTAAAAAATAGTATTCAGTAATTTTGTTTACAGACTTCGTTACTATATTGATGCAGAAGGACGAAGCTCCGTCTGTGACAGCTTGAGGACTCAGACATGATCAGCATTCTGTGGGGCGTTGTTGTAACGGAAACAGAGAAGGGAATGTGTGGTGCTCATCTTCCACCGGTCCAAAGATAAGACGAGGAACTCTACATCAAGAGGTGGAACGTGAAACAGGAGTTCAGCACCTTGATGCAAATGTTGGATTCCTGAAGAAAACGGTTCTGTGAAAGGAAAACGAGAATGCTGCTTAATATTCAAAGTGTCCTCCTAAAGCAGCCAAAAACGTTTCTGTCATTTATCAGTGACACGCTCACTCTATAAGCAAACTATGATGACTTTTGAGTGAAAGAAAGACAAAGTCTTGAAAGTAATTTCTTTAGTTTTATTAAAGCTAAAAGTTTCTTTTCTTTTGTGTGCAGCAAAATAATGCAAACAGATGGAAAAAAAAAAACAGTAACCAAGAGTTTGCCCATGACACTCAACCTCCTCTACTCATTTTATCTTTGTTAATACCCACATCAAAATGCTTTCTTTTACATGGGCTTTTACACCAAATTGGTAAAAGGGTCTGTTTATCATGGGGGGGTCAACTCGAGCCAAGGGCTTACATTTACTCAGAGAGATTTCCAAACAGTTACATAAATAATTGTGCTTGTTCAATGCATAGAAATGACTTGCATGATGGCATGTTTTTGATCAGAAATCTTGCATGAATTAACATAGTCCACGAGACACTAATACGCAGACCTCACCGGTGGCTTGACAGTATGATTCAAGCATTTTCAGATATTTGGCGAAGTTTAGCAGAATGTGGGTTGGTCATCTAAAACACATCCGATTTTTAACTCATCATTTAACATGTTTTAGCCGTTTGAATGATTACCTCTGCAGACAGCAGAATGAAACACATAACACCACCTCAATGGCTCAGTGGGTAAAATATAAGCACTTTCTTTGCTTCTCTGGAGGTTTTGAGTGTAACTTGAAGAAAATGATCTGTGTGTATCAATGGACTGAGATGTTTAGTCACTTGTACGGGAGTGTTTTTAAAGGTACAAAACTAAAGAGCTTGTTGCAGCTCGTCTGCCTTTATGTTTGAGTGAGCAGCACTTTGGGAGTCCAAATCTAGATTTTGGGGATTTTACAGGTTTCTGTTATTTGATGCATCTCTGTGGGTGATTAGACCTATCTGAAAGGGCTAAGAATAGTTTGGATTTTAGTTTTTTTTTTAGCTTTCAGGTTTCATGTACATTTAAACCTGTTTTTTTGTCTCAGTGTGTTCGTTCTTCCCGAATGTAATTTCCGGGCTTTAATGGGTGTTTTTAGTTATGAGCCACATTAAGCCATGAAGGGACCTGTCTCGTCAGGAGTTAGTGATGTTTAGTTAAAGAAAGAAATGTGAAGTTATGAGCGATGAAGACATGGTGTGTGGAGAAGCCAAAGAGATCTGCCTCGTTGTTCGTTTTTGTCCATGCAATGGGACTGGGTGAAGTGTGCCCTGCTCATTCTGTTTTATTTTGCTGTCAGTATTAGACAGTAGGACCCTACAAATGTATGCAATGCTTAAAAAAAAAAAAAATCCATTTTCTCAGGAGATAATGTAGATGTATTATTAAGAGCTCTGCAACAAAATGCAACTGAATGTGATGAGAGTATATATGAAAATCATGTTTTGCTTTTAGTTTTATACCACGTTGATGGACTATGAGCTCGGCTGGCTTTTTTTCTGGGTGGTGGGGGGGGGGGGGGATTTCACGCTTCCTGCTTCTGATGCTATGATATCTAGGGCTTAATAATGATTGTAAATTACATTACATTACATTGTGGCCAATTCAATCTGGACTGATGTTTGGCCTCGTTTCTTTCAATAAATACAAATATTCACCCAAATAACAAATACAGGGTAAATGTACTGAGAGTGAATGAAGGTGGTTTGAGCAGCACACAAACAGAAGTGAAATGCTCAGAGAACAGCCCCCGAATTTTAGTATTTAACAATAGCTCCCTCCCACACCTCCATTTTTCCTTCATGTTGCTCAACTTTATGCACTTCCTATTGTGCAGTGATGTCACTTCCTGTTTCAAAATAAGCCCCTCACTTTATTTCAACGATCCATGCTCCAGCTGCTGCATGAGATCGCCCAAATCAGAGTGGGTGTGAACACAAACCAAATAAAAATATTAATGACAAGCATAAAAGCTACTGCTGTCCATTTTCTCCCATATCCCAAAATGAATACACCACCGCTAAAATGAGAAAAACAGAACTGCAGAGCATTCATCCATTTTTGTGATAAACATATATATGTCATGCTTTGCTCTTTTTGTCACAAAATGCAAAACGCTAAGGCTGGACTTTTAAAGAAACTATAAATAATTTCATATACTATTTTAAAAGCATGGCTATTTTATTTATTTGTAAATACAGAATTACAGAAGAGGAAAAAAAAAATCTTAGAGCTTTTAGTCGAGCGCTAAATATAAATAATTGTAAATCTTATGGTTTCCAGCAGATGCCCCTTGTTACACTTGTTAGGCGGTGACACAATGATAGATGGTTAAAATCGTTTTCAGTCACGTTTCACAAAAAAAGAGGAAAGTTAAAAGAATCTATATTAAGAAGAAGAAGTTTAAAACTGTATAAATCAATGCGTATATATACAGAGCTATATTACATATATATTATATATATATTCTTTTATACACGCATAGATTGAAAAACATGCGCACAAACACACACACACACACATATATATATATATATATATATATATATA